ATTCCTCCCTGTCCTACCTATGTGAGTTGCCATTTATTGCACTAAGCTACAGCTCCTCCACAAACAGACAGTGTGCGTGCATCCTGCCCTGTACAGGCATTTAGTGAACATACAGGAAGGGCTTGAGTTAGTCATGGGTCACTACAGAGCAGGCTTGCAGATTGAAGCAGAACTCAGTACAGAAGAGATCCCGTGCTTTGCACTCACAGAGCTAGACTGCGGGGCGTAAAGAAAGATTTGGTCCCAGCTCTGCCCAGGACACCTAAGCAGAAGCTAGGAGAGGTGCAGGGAGGGACCAAAGTGCAACCAGCAAAGAGCACCCTGTTCCCTTCCCAGTTTGGTGCCAATCAGGACTGACCCTGCACCAGCAATAGCAGGTTAACTGCCATGTTAGGTGGGACCCTCACCCAGCTGCTACACCAAGAAAGGCTGAGGAGACCTGGGAGAGGCTTGGCCTATACCACTTACTAGTACTATCACCAATACCTCTCCTTCACAGAGAAACTTTTTACCAATACCAGTCCTCTAACTCAACATACTGTTTCCTGCCTGATTTCAGCAAGCTCTGAAAGATGTTCTGCTGTCAGACCTCTGTGCACTGTCTTTTGCTTGACCTTATCCCACAAGTCCATTCCCCAAGCTCAAGAGTGGGTCACTTAAAAATTTTACTCACCAGGAAAGTTTCACCAGAGGAAAGGCAGGGGAACTGCTAGCTTTCACAGAGGCTTTTATTAAGTTCTCCTTAATGAGAGAGAGCTTCCTCACCTGCCACATTCTCCCTCCCACTCATTTGCACCCATCATCATGCTGCTGGTACTTTGAAGGCTGTCTGAGCTCTCACTCCTTCCTCGTAACTACTCTGAGCCCAGTTTCTATTTCCGTGCTCTCATCCAGGTCCCAAGGAGAAAATACCTTCTCTAGAGCTACCGCTTGCCACGTCCTCCTTGGCTGGTTTCTTCCCTGACACCTCTGCAGCTTCTCCCAGCTGCAGAGTCACCTGCTGTAGTCCCTCCTCCAAAGCAAAGCAGCAACAGCTCTTCTTCAAATCCCTGACTTATGCGCTTGCTAAATCCCCTGTTGAGGACCTACTGCCTGCTGCAATTCACCCCAGGCTTTAACTCCTTGAAATTCTTGATATATCTTCAGCTAACATCCTGTCTGTGTTACAGAAGCAGCTGTGTGACAAGACCCAATTACACCATGGTTGTCCCTCAGCATGATTAAAACACCACCGTTATTTTCTCTTGCGCTGAAGATTGTAAGAACATCTTACCATCCTGCTAGACTCTAGTCTGACCAAAACTGATCAGACAGCTGATCCAGTGCTGCTTAGGCCTGATGGAATTCCTGATGGAATCAGGACAGGACACACCTAGGCTGTAATTGGATTCTGCCAATTCTCTTTTCAGCATACTGAGGTCTGTCATCCCTCACCTGAACTGGCCCCACGATGTAATTTTTCCCATCTACACTGGCTAGTGAAGTATCACCGTCCCTTGCTACCTTCCTTGGAGGGCAGCTCTGGACCACAGCTCCAGCCAGTGCAGTTTCTGTACTCCGAAGGCACAGCCTGTGACAAAACCTCTAGCCAAAAATCACCTGCCAAGTCTTTCTGAGATCTTCACCAAGATGTTTTGTTGATTCCATATCTACCTTGCCCAACACCAAAGTATTAATGACCTCATCAGACTACACCCTGGTCTGCTAATTCATACCAAACACTGACTATCAAAACTTGCCTGTTCTCTCAGCTAAGGCTTCCCCAGCACAGAGCCTGAACCCCACACGTCCCAATGGCTCTGCCTGTCCCAGCCTGCTGTTTGTACGAGCGGGGCTCTCGGATCGGCCCCTCCGCAGGACCAATGGGGGCCTGACGCCAGCGGGGCAGCGGGTTCAGGGCCTTTCTCAATGACTGCAAATACTACGGGGTTCAGGCTCTTCCACCCATCCGATCGCATCTGAAAGAGCCTTGAGAGCAAAGCTGCGTCAGAGGGGGGCACAGCTGCCAGAAGAGTCATTCAACCTCTTTGGATTGTTTGCATGCCTTTTTTTCATTCAAGCTTTTCTAGATAAGTGCATGACAAACCAAGTATCAGAGAGAATGAACAGCCTGCCTCCTAGTTGGGAATGAGGGACTATCACAATTATCACTGTGATAATGAGATAATCTGAACATGAGGGAACTCGATACAACGGGAGATTTATCTTGGAACCAGTCCCTTGGCAGCCTGACCCCATATTGATGTCAGCACGGTTTCTTATTGCACAAAGGCTAGGGATCAGACCCGGGATGACAGACCCATTTCTATCTCGAGCGCATCCTGTTACACAGCAATGGCCGTTACCATTGATAAAACATTCGCTTCCCCCTTTTTAATCAGTATCTTGGCAAGCGTTCACAGGAATGAAAGTCTGAAGCGTCCTCCGTCCCTTCCCTATCATGCAGGGAGACATTCAGCTTTGTAAAGACATGCTCTTTTGCTTAGGTGTAATAACATGCCGCTTAGAGTGGAGATAACTTCTGGGAGGGATATTGCAAGAGAGAACAACTTGGTCTCGGGTCTGGAGTCGAACGGGATTAGCTGATGAAACAGAGCTGCTGCATGGGATGCCAGGGAGAAGATGGTGCTCTGTAGGGTAGTTACCTACCAGTATTCCAGTGGTAATTCCTTAGATCACCCAGACACTCCGCTTCATTTAAATCATCTTGTCCCACAGGAATCCTGTACCCAACTTGGATGTCCAAATGACCCAGAAAATTGCTTTCTTTCCTACCACAAACCAGGTCAATACTTCAAGTCCTGACCTTCAAGGGTGCCGGGGTGAGGAGAGAGGCATGACAGGAGTCCAAGGCCTTGATCCAACACTCTCAGAGAGTCTTGTCACAAGGAATTATGTGGGCTCTGCAAACAGATGAGGAAAACCAGAAAGAGCAAACGCTGGTCTGCACAACCTTGACACTGCAATCGATGCTGTAGTTTGCCACCAGGAGCAAGTAAATAGCCCCGGAGTTGCATGCTGCATAGCAAACATTGCAGTTTTATCTGGATGACAGGCAGCAATTTGTGGCAAAGGGTAAATCTCTCTTCGCTCATGCTTGACATATGGATGGTCTTGTTACATTCCTTGTTCTCAGCAGGTTTATGCATGAATTTAAGGTTAAGCACATGTGTGCCTGTAGGATCACGACCTTCATTTAATATTGCACGGCCCAGCAGACCCATAATTAATCCCTAAGATGTTCAAGTGACAGCTCTTGCTTGCTAATGTCATCCATGCAGAATGGTGAGGTACGTGTAAATTCATAAATTCAGGCTGGTAGTCAGAGATTTTCCAGCCATCGGAGCAGTGAGGCTCCAAGTCAGGTTTCTGGCAGGATGAACAGGACAAACGTTGGCTTGGGCCATTTTACAGGCAGATTGGGCAGGCCAGGAGAGGGAGGTGTGATATAGTCACCTGCTCATTTGGCTGCCCAGGATGGGCTGGGCATGACAGCACCTCAACGTTGCCGTTCCCTTTTACATGCCCAACAGCCCCAGCTGTGGGCTGGCAATCAGCTCCACATGGACAGAGTGCCCCAGGCAAGTCCTCACACCCAGGTCGAGTACCATCTACTTCAGACATGAGAGTTGCTGCTAACGCCAGCGGTTTCCAAATTCTGGGTATTTAATCTTTTTATCTAGTTGTTCTGTTACTGAAGATGAGCACGCTCGGTCAGGTCGGATCACACAGGCAACACAACAGGCTGGGTACGTACACTTTACATAAGTTTAATGGGGTTTAATATTCATTCACCAACAGTACAAAGTGTCAGATCTCTGCTGTTTAAGGGCCAGAAACATGTCAAACACCCACACAGACAAGCATTGCTCAGAAATAGTTACGCTGTACATCAAACCTGAGTAACTCGAGCACAACCAATAATTTGTCCTGCTACACATCTGGGGAGAGAAAAGATGAGTGTCTTACTAGCTATTCCAGACCCTACAAAAATACATACAGCCATTTCATTTAACCCTCTTTCCTTAAAAGACGCATTTGTGAGATGGATCCCACTGCATGTTCAATTATTTTCTCCTTAAGCTTTAGCAGCCTATGCACCAGACTGGAATGATACATGGGAAAGGATCTTTGTATTTTCTTTACTGATTGAATTACAGGGAACTTGTGGAATAGCTCTCCTCTCCCTCCTTTTCTCCTCTCAACAACTGAAATGCCAGCACAGCTGTACACCTCTGGCACAGCCATACACCTCCAGCGCAGCGTTACACCTCAGCACAGCCATACTCTGCCGGTGCAGCTGCATCCGATTTTGCCCCCTGGTGGAACCGCAGCAAAGATGAGCTGCCAGGAAAGTCTGGTAAGGGCAGAGAAGACAGTCTCCCCTTGGCTCGCCGTGTGCAAATGCACTGCAGGCAGGTGAACCCAATGGAGATGCAAACAGGATTTGTCCCCAAATGCCTCCCTGAGACGTGTACAAGGTGACCCTGGGCTGGGCGGCAGGATGGAGAGCACCTGAGAGCTCCCTCCTTGGGAGCCAGGAGGAGAGGAAAGTAAAAGGAGCTCTGCCAGTGGGGAATTTTATAAAAGGTTCCCTGATAAAAACTGGAAGCTGTAACAATCAGCACTGCTGAAGCAACCAAGTCTGATGAGTGGCAGCCACCACCCAGCTGTGGTTGCCCTCAGCACAGCCAGCCAGGGAGACATTTTGCCAGGTATGATGGACCATAGGGGATAGAAAAGGTACAGGGAAACAAGGCAGCCAAGGAGGTGGCACAAGGAGCAAAATGTATTTTGACTTTCCCACCCTGCTGCAGCTCCAGATGGTTGTTTATTTTCCCTAGTATATTAAATTATAGTAGGTTTGAGATACCTCCAAAACGTCAAATCACATTTCATTAGCATGCACAGCCCTTTGCAGCCCCCAGTCCTGCGATTATAGCTCTGAAATGAGGGGAAATGGCAGAGAAGAGAACTGCCCCCTCCATACCAGTGCCCGCTCAGACCTTTGGGACCTCCGCTTCCGAAGCAGACCTGGACTTTCGCCTGCTGGTCAGGCTGCCCAGGACCGACTCCTCGCTGAAGGCCCCTTCAAATGTCGACAGGATGGACTGGCGAAACTTCTCCTTGAAATCCGGCCCCACAAATACGTACAGGATGGGGTTGATGCAGCTGTTGAAGAAAGCAAGGCTGGAAACCAAGGGGATCCCTATGTAAAGGGCCACTTTCATCTCATGACTGGAAGAGTTTTTGGATATTTCCAGCAAGGAGAAGACATGATAGGGGAAATAACAGAGGAAAAACGAGACTGTGACAGCAATGATAATTCTGTATGGCTTCGCAGAGTTGGCTAGCTGCCTGCTTTTCAGCTTGACAGCAACAATGCTGTAGCAGATCACGATCACCATGAAAGGGATGAGGAACCCGCATAAGAATCGCGTTATGATCATCGCTTTATGCCGCATCCTCCACAGCCTCCGCGTTGCTTCGGACGTGTAGTCATCAGACAGTGCAAAATTATTATAGCAGCTGGTGATGTTCCTGGAACTGACCGCAGTGTCCCGAAAGACGAGGTACGGGGAGCTGAGGAGGAGAGCCAGGACCCATGTCCCCAGTGCAATCCTGGCTGCCAGCTCCGGACTCCGGTGGTTGTGAGACCAGATGGGAAAGGCCACAGAAACGCAGCGGTCCATGCTGATGACCGTCAGGAGGAAGACACTGGCAAACATGTTGAGGAACGCGATGGTGCTGTTCAGCTTGCACAGGAGCTTCCCAAACGGCCAGTGGAAGTCCAGGGCAGTGTAGGCAATGCTGAGGGGCAGGAAAAAGGTGAAGATGAAGTCAGCAATGGCCAGGTTGAGGAACCAGACAGAGTTTACAGTCTTCTTCATCTTGAAGCCTGCAATCCAGATGACGAGGCCGTTCCCTGTCACTCCCAGCAAACAGGCGATGCTGTACACCACCATGGAGAGGATGTGCATGCTCTTCTGGAGGCCGGAGTAGTAGTCATGGGCAGTGGCGTTCTCAGACTGCACAGTGGGGGAACTGGCGGAGAAGGGAGAAGGGGAAGAAGAGACGCACTCCATTGCCAGCAAGCTAGAGTCCTGAAATCGTAACAGCACACACCACTATTATCTGCAGCTCCTACGGCTCAAGAGGTGAAAATCTTTGCTAGCAACTGTACACAAAATGTGTCTGCAAAGCCAGATTATATAACTTAATATATAATTAATATAAATTCTTTCTCTATAGCATCCGTATGTCACAGAAACCACTGCGACCAGAGAAACCGACCCAGGTTTTGCTGTGGGTGTTGGCGCTGTCAAAACACCACCCGCACAAATGGCCTACAACAGCAATACGACATGGGCCAGCAGCAGAACCACGGAAACCCAAATCCCTCAGCTGCGATGAGGCCTCTCCAGGTGACCAACGACAAATGAAGACAGCAAAAAACATCCAGACAAAGATTAAGTCAAAAGACTCTTCCTTCGACAAGTCCCTTCCCCGGGGAGGCAGACTCCGGTAGTAGAACCGTACCCGAGGAGTGTTCTGGTGTAACCAGGGTCACCATACACCTCCCTCCCGGTGAGCCCAAGGTTTCCCTCGCTCCTCCCACTCGCCCCAGCACCCTGCCTCGCCAGGCCCCGGCAGGACTCACCACCACACTCCTGCGCCGCTCTGCCCGCAGCGTGGGGTCTCGTCTCCTTGCTGACTCCCCTCTGAAACGCTGCTCCTCCCCGGAGAGTGACTCACGCTGCCTCATTCCGTTTTCCCGTGGCTTGGGATCACGAGGAATTTAGTAGGATCCCTTATTCCCTAATCTTGTTCCTCAATTTGTGGTGCATTGATTTTAACCCCCGAAGCCCCGGTGGTCGCAGGCTCCCTCGGGCCCGTTGGCCAAGCCCATCCGCTAACTGGGACTCAAAGCACAAGGAAAACACGGCCCC